GCTGCTGTGAATATTGGGGTGCATGTATCTTTTTGAATTATAGGTTCCTGTGGGTATATGCCTAGGAGTGGGATTGCTGGATCATATGGTAAGTCTGTTTTTAGTTTTTTAGAGAAGCTCCACACCGTCCTCCATAGTGTCTGCACCAATTTACATTCCCACTAACAGTGTAAGAGGGTTCCCTTTTCTCCACACCCTCTCCAGCATTTATTATTTGTAGGCCTTTTAATGATGGCCATTCTGACTGTTGTGAGGTGATACTTCATTGTACTTTTGACTCTTAAGCTCTTAGAAGAAAACATAGGGGTAGATCTGTGTGACCTTGGATTAGGCAACAGTTTCTTAGATATGACACCAACAACAGCACAAGCAGTGAAAGAAAAAAATAGATAAGCTGGACTTCATCAAAATAAAAACTTTTGCTTTTCAGAGAAGACTATCCTGAAAGTGAGAGAACACGACCAACAGAACAGGAGAAAATATTTGCAAATCATGTATCTGAGAAGGGATTTGTATCCAGAATATATAAAGAGCTTGTACAACTCAACATTAAGACAAATGGCCTAATCTAAAAACAGGCAAAGGATTTGAATGGACGTGTCTCCAAAGAAGATAGAACAGATGGCCAATAAGCATTTGAAAAAATGCTCAACATCATTAGTCACTACAGGAAACCACAACGAGACTCCACTCCACAACCACGAGGACGGCTATAATCAGAAAGACGGAAGGTAACAAGTGTTGGTGAAGGGGTGGAGAAGTCAGCACCCTCACACTGCTGGTGGGAATCCAGAACAGTGCAGCCCCTTTGGAAAACAGACTGGCATTTCCTCAGCCAGTTAAATGTAGAACTGCAATGATACAGTAAGTCCTCTCCTTGTATAAACTAAGAAGAAATGAAAACATATGTTCAAACCAGTAACTGTACATGAATATTCATAGCAACATTATTCGTAATAGCCAGAAAGTGGCAACAACCCAAATGTCCATCAGCTGATGAATGAAAATGGGTAAACAAAATGTGGTGCCTTCTGTACAATGGAGTATTATTCGTCCATAAAAAGGAATGAAGGACTGACTAATCCATGCTGTAACATTGAGGAAACTTGAAAACATGATGTTTGGTTATAAACTGTCCATATGGGAAGATGAACTAGATCTGGAAATGGATGGCAGGGTTGGTTGCACAACAGTGTGAATGTGCTCAGTGCCGCTGAACTCTACACATGAAAATGGTTAAGATGGTAAATGTTATGTATATTTTGTCACAATAATAACTTTTTAAAACATGCTTAATGAAGGGAGCCATACACAAAAGGCCACACACCCTATAACTCCTTTTGCATGAAATGTGCAGAACAGGCAAGTCCACAGAGGCAGAAAGCCGACCAGTGGTTGCCTAGGGCTGCAGGAGGTCGGGCGATGGGGAGCAACTGCTAATGGATATGGGGTTTCTTTTAGGGGTGATGAATATTCTAGAACTAGATGGTGGTGATGGTTGTGTAACCTGTGAATATATGAAAATCCACTGAATTGTAGACTTTACAATGGTGAGTTTTATAACATAGATCGTAGTAATAAAAAATGTAGGATTTATAGTTTTATGTGTATTCGAAAGCAAGTTTCAGTCCAGGCTGTTGAATGGGGAAATGATTTCTTTAACCTACCACCCTGCAAGCCAGCAGAGCATGTGGGAGCCTTGATCTTCTGAGATGCTGGTGCTGGCTCTCGCCCTCCTGTATCAAAGCTGATGCTGTATTGCAGTCGGGAATCTTAGTCCTGTGAAGGCCTTTGGTGCAATCCTTATTAAAAGCCCAGATTTGCTCCTGTGTGTTTAGCATCCCATTCAGAATTGATGGCTGATGTTTTATACTTCTGAGAGCTTCTAGAACAAGGCCAGAGAGGTTTTCTGAATCCCCCTTTGATTGTTCTTAATTCCATTACAGCTTGTCCTCGTGTACTAACAAGATAATCTTGCCTTTCTCTTGCTTTACAGCTCTGACCTTTCAGGGGAAATGTGATTTTAAAATTGGACACCATCCAAAGATGATGCCAGGATGACAAAGGATATTATCCTTGCAAGCAGCATAGTCCCAAAGATGTGATCTGAGCCGTTGTTCTTTGCATGTTTGATCCCCTTTCTACTCAAAAATGTGGTCCACAGACCAACAGCAGTGGGGTCCCCTGGGAGCACATTAGAAAGGCAGAATTTGGGGCTTCTCCCAGAACCTACCAAATCAGAACCTGCATTTGAACAAGATGTGGTGGTTTCAAAGTATGTCCACAAATTCCTTGGTATTTCTCTGTTTGGTGGAGCCTAATTCCCCTTGCTTTGAGTATGAGCTGTCCCTAGTGACTTCTGTAACAAACAGAATGTGGTGGAAATGATGGCGTGAGACTTCCAAGGCTGCTAGGTCATAAAAGACCTTCCAGGCCTCACCCTTCTCTGTAGGGTCAATAGCTGTAGGGGAAGCCAGCTGCCGTGGTGTGGGGACACGCAAGCAGTTACTCGTCACATGGCCAAGAACCAATGCCCCCTTTCAGGAGTCATGTTTGTGTGACATCTTGGAAGTGAATCCTTCAGCCCCGGTCAAGCCTTCAGGTGACATGACTGCAGCCAACTTCCTGACTGCAACCTCACGAGACACCCCGAGCCAGAACCGCCCAACTGAGTCACTCCTGAGTTCCTGACTCTCAGCAGCTATGTTAGATGATAAATGTTGTTTTTCAGCTGCTGGGTTTGGTGGTCATTTGTTGTACAGCAATAAATAACCAATATTGCAATACTTCCAGGTGATTTGCAAGCACATTATAGTTTGAGAAGCACTGAACTAGACCATGAACTCCAGGAAGGCTGAGACCACTTGGTCATGTCCTTATCTTCAGAGCTTAGCACGGTGCCTGGCACTTAGTGAATTTTTGTTGGACTAAATACAAGGTTAAATTGCCCTGTTTTTAAAAAATTAAAACTCTTTGTAATAAATAATGCATGTATGCACACGGTGAAATACGTTAACAGTGCTAAAAAGGGCGTTCACAGTGACAGGCAGCTCGCCCTGTAGACTGCTGGTTGATTACCAGGAAACTGACCACTTGCCTTACTTCATGATACGGTCTGCCACAGAAGGCAGTACATTTCTTTTTTCCCCTCGCTTCCAAAAGTAACCTTCACCTCAAAATTGAACAATATAAACTGCATATAAGTTTTTTTAAAAAAGGCAACCCTTCCAAACTTATCCCCTGGAAGTAACTGCTATTAATAATAGTTCGTGTATCTTTCCAGCCTATTTTGAAAAATCTTTTACCCATACGTGTACACCTTTGGATTTTTATTGTTCCCCAGTGGAATAATATCGTGCATCTTGACCTGAGTGTGCATTTGGAGACCGATATTGGCCATCTTTCAAAGTCAGTACTTAGAGAGCCACCCACCCCTCTAGTTGGCGGCAGTCCTCCTCGATGTCATAGCGGAGCCGCGCCGCGCTGCGCTTACTGCCTGCCCGAGAGCACTGTTCTTAACAGCCTCACCCGCTGCTTCTCCGACCCCCACCCCACGGACGCCCTTTGCAGAGGAGGAATCGCTAGGTTCTGGAGAGGCTTGAACTTAACCACTAATGGTGGGCGTTTGGGTTATTAACACAGAATTTGGGGGCCTCTGATGCCTCAGGGACCACCTTTGCACTGTCTCTATGGAATTTCAGGAGGAGGGGCCCTTTGGGGTCCTTAAACTTTCCGGAGATTCTTTGACAATATGATAAAAACCCTGGCCCCTCACCCCTGGGCCTCCTTAATGCCTTTTGATCCGGGCAATTTGAGGAGAAAACGTGACCTTTCCCAACCGAGAGGAACAAAAAAAACCCTTTCCTCCTAATCGCTCTTCCTGGCTCTGCGGGAGCACAATGCACTTTCCTACTGAATATGTTTTCAAAGGTTTAAAAGACTCCCCCTTGCCTTCGAGGACGTGCTTCCTCCCACTCCTGCTGCCGAAATGGTAGCCCTTGTAGGGCCGTGACTGAATCCCACGGGGCCTTTGATCCTGGACCGTGTAGGAAGCTCTGCTCGGGGCGCTGCAAGGGCGAGGAAGGTCTGGGCTCCCCGGCGCCCGCGGCCACCAGAGGGCGTCCTCGCCCCGAAGTTCCGAGGCCGCGGGCGGCCAACACCGGCCAGTCACAGGCGGACGTCACGGGGACACGCCTGGCGAGCAAGGCCAGGTAATTGCTACGGTTTGTGACAGTCCGTCCTCCTGATCTCCAGTGTCGGCCAGGAGTGGAATGTCACGTTCACGCACTACGAGATGCGGCGGGCTCCCCTGGCTGTTCCAGGTTGCGCGGCCCGCCGACTTGAGCGTCCTTAGCCGGGAGGATGCAATTTCTTTTTCAGAAAAGGGTGAAAGGAAAACACAGGGGAGGCCGATTAGTCTCTGTTTCACAAAGAAGCCAGCTACAAGCATCAGGCAGTGTCCAAGGGGCCGCACTGAATGTTTATTGGTTAGTTCGTGCGGCCCTCTGGACACACACCTTCCTCCTGTCGGCGAGCTGGGCTTTGCCTGGTGAAGGCTGTTTGCCCTTCCAGACCTCCTCTTAGGTGAAGTCATCCCGCACCGTCTCTCCCATCCTTCATCCCTCAGCTTCTCGTACTGGTGTTGCCTCTTATCATTACCTGCTCTCCTGCTGTCTCTCCAACCTGGCTTCACGTCAAAGTCGAGGCCTGTCCCCACCCCTGGGGTTTAGGAGGCCCTCAGCCAATGCCTGATAAACCAATGAAAGCTAAAAAATCACCTGGGCTCATCAGATGGAACAGAAGTAAGTACAAGTAATAACAAACGATCTTCCTGAACTCAATATGAACACGCCTAGAAACTTCTGGATGAAAGTATGAAGTGGGGAAGGAGGGTCAACCTTGTGAGTGCCCTTCAGTCCTCTTGTCCATCTGCCCCAAAGCCCGGCAGACATTTCACCTGTGCCCACGTCTCAGCTCTTCTCCCTCCAAATGCTTTTTATTGATTGGGTTTTTTTAAAATATATTTTTATTGAAGTACAGTCAGTTTACAATGTTATGTCAATTTCTGGTGCACAGCACAACAACTTCAGTCACGTAAGAACATACATAACATTCGTTCTCATATTGTTTTGCTTTTTGAGAATTTCTTTTCATGATACTTTCTTCCTTTGTTTTTGTTTTTGTTTTTGTTTTTTAACCTTGTTATTTCCATGGTTATACAGAATCTCCTACTTCTTAATCCTGGAGTTCTTCACTGGGCATGCACATTAGAATAAACTCTTTTTTTGAGATTTCAAAAAAAAAATCTTCAGATGCTTTTGCTCCACCCAGTCCTACTGAAGCCAAAGGTTCAGAGCAGGGCCGTAAAATAGGAATATATTTTTAAAAGTCACACAGGGGCCCTGATGCAGTCCTAGTTAAGAATCAATGGTTTAATTTCACGGGGGCTTTATTTTAAGTCTGCCTCCAAATAGATGCTCCCCCCCTGCTTTACAGCCTACTTTTCTGGGCTGGTTCCGGATTTCTGCTCTGTCCCACTTCTCCTGCACTGCCTCCTGCTAAGAGGTGACTCGCTGTTCCAGTTTTCTCCAGCCTATTAGGGACCGTGACAGCTGAAACACGGTCCAGACCAGGTTCTCTTCATCAGGTGTGAACAATGGTGAACAGCAATGCTCTTCGTTCTGCTGGGCGAGCAGCCTTTGTGTGGCGTTTTCCACGCCTAACCTCCAACTGGCTTCGTTGCAATGATACAAAATTGCATGGAAATGCCACCTGTTGCCCTTTCTTACTGATACTCTGTGTATGTGTATGTGTTTAAAGGGGACAACATGGGCATTAAAAAGAATAATTATCTCAGTTATTTGGATGTTTCAAGGGATTGTATTATCCTAAGTGCTGTGGAGTAAAATAATTCTAGAACATGAAGTCACACTCCTCCTTTATATCACTTAGAAGAGACACAGAACATATCACCTGTTCTCCAATAGGAAAGTTCTGCTGTTACTTTAATAGTTCTGCTAAATGGAAAATCCAGAGGGTGTTTTCTTCAGGTATGATTCGATCCCGGAGCTCAGACCAAATATTTGGTGTCTCTCTCTCCTCTCTCTGTTTTCCACAGTGTCGATATCAGGTTCCCAGTGGTCCCCAGGGCCTGTCTTAAGTATGGTCTTGGAATTACTGAAGCATTCTATACATCATCTCTAGCGCTCTTCTACCCAGAAGAAGGGTGAGAGCCTCCTCCCTTCACTTCTGCAGAACAGAGAGAAAACTTGAATTTCCCAGAATTAAAAACACATCCTTTCCGCACCTCTAGCCTCATTTTCTTCCAATCAGGTCACATTCCTGGCCCTCATCCAATCACTATGGCCCTGGGGGATTGCAGTTAATCTCATTGGCCACGTGCAGTCACGCGGTTGATCCTGAAGCAGGTGGAGTGGGACCAACTCCACCCATGCCACCTGGATCAAGACTGGGGTAAGGGAGGTTCCCCTCAAGGAAGTCAGAGTCCCTTCACCAGAAGGGAGAACAGATGTTGGGCAGGTAAAAAGGACAGATGTCCCATGAGCTCAGGAAGTCGTGACAGAGACAGAACTTGAGTGGATGCACGTGGGGCTGTGGGTTCTGGATGAACTGGAGCAGGGATGACTGAGACCAGGGGGAACATTACTTTTTTTTTTAAGTATCTTTATCATGGTATGATTCCTGTACAGTAAACTACACATATTTCAGACGTACAATTTGATGAATTTTGATAGAGGTATACACCCATGAAATCACCATCACAATCAAGATAGCTAACATTTCCATCATTCCCCAAGAGGTGTAGAGTTCAAATTCCAGGTGAAGAAGTTACTATAGCCTCCCCTTGAGGGTGGATGAGGACCTGGGTCGGGGCTGTGGGGTGACTTGTGGTGTAGCATACTGGTCTACCACCACCTGGGTCCGAATTCTTGCTCTGCCACTTACCAGGTGTTACCTAACCTCTCTGTGCTTTAATCTCCCCACTTGTGAAATGATTGCCCTACGGGTGTCATGGATGAACCAGAAAACAATATGCTAAGTGGAAGAAGCCAGTCACAAAGGACCACATATTGTGTGATCCACTTACATGAAATGTCCAGAATAGGCACACCTGAGGAGACAGAAGGTAGACGAGTGAGTGCCTGGGGCTGGGGGGATGGGGGTGCTGGGATTTCTTTTCTGAAGTAACGAAAATGTTCTAAAATTGACCATGGTGATGGTTGCACAGCTCTGTGAATACACTAAAAGCTATTGGATTGTATACCTT